TTTTTGGGTCCTGTTTATAAGGGTGCCGTACTATTGTGGGGACCTACAAAGGCAGCCTGATTTAGAGGATTGCCCCTATAGGATTCTAAAGTATGAACCCCAAAAAGGAACTACTATGGGGCCTAAACCCTAAACCCTAAATCTTAAACCCTAAACCCTAAACCCTAAACCCTAAACCCTAAACCCTAAACCCTAAACCCTAAACCCTCAACCCTTACTATGGGAACCCACATGGAGGTCCACCACCAGCTTTGAGTCCGGCCCGGGCGGCCCGACGCCCTGGGCTCAGCGATTTTCTGTTTGGGACGGTCTGGGACTGGGATTGCAGGCTTAGGGTTTAGGGTTTCGGGGTTTAGGGGTTTAGGGTTTACGGTTCAGGGTTTGGGGTTTCGGGGTTTAGGGGTTTAGGGTTTAGGGTTTAGGGGTGGTAGAGTTTTTGGGGTTTTAGGGTCGGGGGGCTTGGGCTGCTGGGCTGACGGTTGAAGATTTTCGGTTGGGTTTGATTGTTACTGAGGGTCTGTTGCTTTTTACTTTTTTTGTTGGCTCCAGGACATGCTTAGGGTTTGGGGGTGGCCCGCTCTTTCAGACTCCGTTATGTTCTCTCCGGCAGAGTCACGTTGTAATTTGTGTTTTAACATCGTCGCGCCGAGCCCTTGACGAATTGACTGGCAAATTGAGGCCCGCAGCTCAAGTTTCGTGCAAGGCCTGCAACTGGACACCCCTGGGCCCTGAATTCGCTAGCCGTGGTCCCATTAAATTTTGGGTCGTTGCATGTCATATATGAAGCAAGAGGCCTGGAGATCATGACCCTTCCGGTGTAAAGCCCCCGCAGCCTGGACAAGCCCTGAAGCCGCACGGCTGCTTTCACCCAGAGAGCCCAATACCCCTTAAATAAGGAATATACCGTAAACTATAGGGGCCTTACCATTATGATATGAGGTAGATTCCTTCATTCCCTCATGGATCCCTTACAGGTCCCTTTAAGGAGCCCTTAAATTTTTTTTACAGGGATTCGCTTG